CCCCGCCCTCCCCCAGCCGCTCCGGAGCTCCTCGTCCTCCTCGCCCCGCGCGTGGCTGGTGGCCTCGCTTCCTGCACCCTCATTCTGTGCAGTTATTCTTCCAAATTTGCACAGCTGAAGTTGGTTTTTTTTAAAGCCAGTCCCTGCTGGGCTTTGCCACCAGCTCACCTCTGGGTTACCTGGATACTCCATAACGTGACCGAGCGTATCGTCAGACGTAGATCACGACGGTGTGGAAGCCTGAACTCACCTCTGCCACCAGGCAGCCGTGGCTAGTGGAGGGATGTGCTGCATTTTTCAAGGAACGTTTCGGCTGCTTCTCAGTCACTTTTGCCAAGCGCCTCAACCCGCTCCTCACAACTTTGGCAATAAAGACTTTTAACACCGTGCATGCCCTTCATCACCCAGGCCTGATTCTTTAGGGTGGATGCCCAGGCTGTGCTCTGAGCTCAGCAGGAGGCCTGTGTAAAAATAGTATGGTTACTAATATGAGTCAGTCATACAATGCTCATATCCTTAAGGAGCTCAGTAAAAGCTACTCCAGGGCGAACTTAATCTGATGTTTCTTAAGGCCTTCCCTTTGTAACCTGGGCATACTTACATGTATTTTGCACGTGTTCTGTAAGTTTGTACGTGCTCCTTCAAAAAATCGGATTGTGTGACCGTGGCAGAGGAGCCAAGGATCGAGCCAAGCACCTCGCGAACCAAAGCTGAAGAACCCAGCAGGGCTTTGGGCAGGACAGCCTGCAGCTCCTGCTGGTTTGGCTGTGTGACTTACAGGACCATCGGACGTCAGGTGTCGGGCCGGTCAGTGTGGCGCTTCAGAAGGCAGGGCACGCAGAGCAGAAGATAACAGAGACAAAAAGGCAACTTGGGCTGGCTGTCAGAGAGGAACACGGGTTGAAATCTTCATCTGGGACAAACATTTGTTGCGGTCTCAGTCGGTGGCGTGGGCTGTTCTGTGGGCCAGGTCTATGTGTGTAAGTGCAGCAAGCCACAGGTTCTTTCTCCAGCCACCTCTCCCTTGTCTTTCATACTGTGCGTAATCCTACAAACCACACGGGTTTACAGAGTGTTCTTCTAGATGGCCTCTGCCTTGAGAAGGAATTGCTATTCTGCGATCAAACTTGCTTTACAAACAATACCCCTTAACCACAGAGCTTGTGCCCTTGCAGAGCCACAGTCCCTGCCTGCGGCTTTACAGCACAGCTCGGAGACGCGCTGCCGGCCCCGCACTCCTGCGAGGGCTACCAGCTCTCCAGCTTTAGCAGGTCAGATAAAAAAACCAAGACAACGGAAATGAATCGTTAGAGGAACTTACAGACGATACGACAGCCAGGGGTCTAAAGGAGAATACTTGTCAGAACACAGCTTTTAAAGGAAATGTTTTCAGACACGTTTGAATAGTTCAGTCCCGTGCTGGGTTAACCGCTTCAGTAGGAGGGAAAACTTTCCTTCTGCCCACCTCGTACCATCCCTTGCAACACTTTAATCTCCAAGGAGAGTCGTTTGTCCTGAAACCTTGAGCTCTGTGGGCTCTCGACTGCTAAGCTAGCTCCTGCCTGTGGCAGCTGGAAGTATAAATCAGTCCCATCAAACATTCATGTTTCCTGATTAAATTCATTTATTGCGAGTTTTTGGACCCAACCGGTGTGGCAGCTTGGGAACACATCCAGGCTCCACCAGCTGGGTATCCGTCTACCTCTGCAGGATTACGCTAAGGAAGGTTTGCGCTGAACCATTTGACCCTGTTACTAGGGGCAGCAATAGACCAGAACACTTAAATCATTTGGATTGACTTTGTGAACACTTAGGGAGGGTTTTTAAA